TCCCAGATGTCTAACATGTCCAAACCAGTGCTCGAATTTTTCCCCCAAACCTGTACCCGCATATTATTTCCCATATCATAAAATATTCCTACTTTGCATCCAATTGCTCAAGCTAGAAACTTAGATATTGTGAGTCTTCCACCGCTCTGCACTGGTTCTATCAATAAACTGGCCTCTGTGGCCTCATTTCTTAAAGACATCCCAAAGCTGCCACTTGTTTTGGTTTCTACTGGAACTACTGAAGTTTGAGTTACAATCGGTAATGCTTCTGAGAATGCAAAGAAGCCTGTATTTGACCCTCAAAGTTTTTGTTGAGAAATACCGAAATTGTAGTCTCTTTGAGACACAGCTTTCCTATAATAATACTGTATATCTCTTCTGTAGATATTTCATACTGTTTACACTTGGGAAATGGGCTTCAGGAGGTGTGGTTGCAGAGCAGCAAAGCATAATGTGAAATTCCTGAAACTGTTTCCACAGACTTATTTTAGACTCCCAGGTCATTCACAAAATACCTGTTCCCCCATGAAACCACCTCAAAAGCCTTAAAAGGCTTTAGAAAGGAAAAATAAATAAATATAAAAAGAGCTGTATTCCAAGGTTTTTTTTAAAAGAAATTCTTGTAAAAAGATGAGTTTTATTTAATAGAGTTCATCGTTTTTAGAGGGAAATTTCAGAATTTAATAGTGTAGCGAGTTTACCATTGTTCCTTTATCAGAGTTTAAAGTCGTTACTAAATTGAACAGGGGGATCTGGCTTTTAGGCCAAATACTTAGACCTTTAAAGACAATTGCTTGACTTTTCTGGATCTGTTTCCCAATCTGTTAAAGGATAAAATAAGACACTTCTTCTGGAAGCCTAGTACTCGGCAAGTATTTGAAGTGTTTTCCTAAAGTCCCTTGTTCCGAATGAATGTGGTCTCAACTTCCTGTCACAGAAATTGCTTCGGTGATAATCACTTATTCCATCATTTTGCCTTTAGATTCTGGAAGGCAGGCAGTATGAATTACGATATGAGCAAAAGAATCTACGCATCATGCTGTTCCTGCATGTCCTGTTTCTGAGTCACCCTTATGCTGTGCTTCTGGTTGTGGAGTGTGGGGGGCTGAACCCTGAAGGCGGCCGTGAGTGGTGGTGATGTGGGCGATCAGCACCACAGGTGTGATCGGATCTCGGATCTCGGATCTCGGTGGGGCCAGGCCTGGAGGCACGAAGAGCATTGGTCCTAATCTGTTCATCTGAGCACTCAGCAGAAATGTCCCCCGTCCGTCCCCGCCCCCCGCCTCGCCCCGTGCTGGGAAGTCAAACCCAGCCCTCACCTGGCAAGTGCTCTGCCACCGAACTGCAGCCCAGACCCCAAAACTGTATTTTACAAATTTCAGCTTTTCATCTAACTCTGCAAAGGCAAAGGTTCTGTTTAAAATAACTATGAAAATCTTTATAAAATACTTTGTAATTATAATTGTAATATTTTTCAATGATTATCTTTATTATTATTATTATTTTTAGACAAGATCTCTCAAGGTAGTTCAGGCTGGCTATGTAGCCCAGGCTGGCCGCAAACTAATGGGGATCCTCCTGCCTCAGCTTCCTGAGTGCTGGCATTACAGGCAGGTACTGCTACGCCAGGTGACTATTTTTCCTTTTAAATAGAATTTCTGCTTGTGTGTGTTAAGGAAGTATCTGCTTTGATTGTGAGAGGCTCCTTGAAATGTAAAGAACCAGTAGCCTCCGGTGGCGCGTCCCATCCCTTTAGGTTCTGTTGTTAGGTGGCATTTTTGTTCTGGCACTAATAGTTCAGCGTATTCAATACACATTGAACTATTAAATGGGATGCTGCTTAAGGGGAGACTGATGGGCAGGTGACACTGCAGCAGGCCTGTGAGGTAAACCGGGATTTACAGGTGTTGGGCGCGGGAATAAAGGGTAGGGTTGGAGCTTTTGTTTCTTTCTTTCCCTCCCTCCCTCTCCTTTCTCTCTTTTTTGCAGTACTGGGGATTAAACCCAGCCCTCCACCCCCATGCTAGGCAAGTGCTCTACCACTGGCCTACCTGCCTATCCCCCTCTCCCTTTTAAAAATGTGGAGACAGAGTCTCATTAAACTCCCCAGCCTAGCCTTGAACTTGCAGCTCTTCTGCCTCAGCCTTTCGAGTAGCAAAGATTACAGGTGTGTGGCACTATGTCCCAGCGACTCCATCTATTTTTGAGAACACAAAGCCTAGGCCTATGCTAGGGATAGAGAACTACAAGGAAATAAGTTCATTTGTTTCGTAGATGTGGATTGAATTACTTGGCTTGTTGTTAATATGTAGCGTTTTAGGAGCCATTGACTATAGTGAAGTTGGGAGATGTGGAGACAGAAGGTGTACCCCAAGATGAGTGGCCTGGTGGTCACCAGTGATGCCACCGGAAGGCCAGGCACTGGGCAGTAGTTAGTGCCCTGGGAAGGAAGGCTGCAGACAGGAGACGCTTCGGGAGGCAGCACTGTACAGGGGAGCTCGGTCTTGGCGGGCGGCTTGGGCTGCGGTATGTGGAGTGGACAGAGCGCGGGTGGGCGTGCGGGCTCTGGTCTGTGTAATTCATGTGCACAGCTCGGGTGGTGCGGTGTCCACCCCCGTGCTGTGCCCCTGCACACGCACTTCCGGTCCTCTGCTCGGCCGCATCCCCAGTGCTTGTGGTTTATGCTCAGGCTCTGCTCCTGTTTGCTTTAAACTTGATGAGTGTTGAGAGGTAACGGAACTGGGAGGCAGTTAGCAGTGTGGAGGAGCTGGAGACAGTAGGACCAAATCTTGATCCTTTTTTCATTTAAAATGTTAATGTTTTATTCACAAGTTGCATTAAGTGGTTTGTCTTAATTTTTGGCACCTTACATTTACACCCAGGATTTTGCCTCGCTCCTTTGGTGCTTGTCCTGGCCCCTGGGGCTTTGAAGTCCTGAGAAGGGCCGGGCCCCAGAAGGAGGAGGAACGCATGGGCAGCTGGCGGGGCTGAGGCAGAAGAGGACCCGACCTAGAGGCAGGGGGAGCGGGTAACCCTTTTCCTTCCAACCCAAAGGTGGTTGAAGGTGGAAGGGAAGCAGGGTGGTAACCCACGGTAGCACTTTGGGGCAGTTGAGTGGGAAGAACAAAAGGGTGCAGAGAGGCAGCGTCTGCTGACGGCCAACACCATCTTGAGGACTGGCTTGCCTGAGGGAGCACAGGTTCCTGAAGAGCTTTCCTCGTGAGTCTGCGGTGGGTCACGGTGAATGCACTGGTGGGAAGAGAGGCTGGGGTCTTCAGACACAGGTGCAAAGCGACGCGAGGGACAGGGCAGGACCTTGTGTGGAGCCGCTGTCAGAATGAGCTTCAGTCTGGCTCACGTGGGAGACAGACTCGTTCACTGTTTTATTTGTGATAAGCTCACGTCTTAGCTGGAACACTGTGGAGCTTTTTCTTTTGAAATTGAGGAATTATTTTTAAACTAAGACATTTTTGAAATTCAGGTGGTTCCTTAATTAATGCCTGTAGTACCTATCACAGCATATATGGCCTCTCTGTCCTTTTTCTGTCCTGCATAGATAATTGGAAATCTTGTAGCATTTATAAGCCTGTATCATATGTTTCTGTGTAGCCCTAGAGTAGAATATGCTTTCTTACTGTACGTGTGCGTTAGTATTGATTTGAGGCTAATGATTATATAGCCCCCACATCTGTAGCATCACTATACAAGTATTATGGTCCTTAAGATTGCTATTCAAATAACTCCTGACATGAGCCACTTTTCTTTAAAAATGCTGTTACTATTTAGGACCATATTTTCTTTCCCTCTTGCTCTCCATAGGAGCGTTCCAGATGTTCACTTTGATGTTTAGAGGCTTCCAGACCTGTGTCTGTAGAGTCCTCGCCTTCTTCCTTGCTCCATAGTCACCCGTTCTCCTCTGGAGCTCTTGTCTGGAGCTCCTGTCTTGTTTCAGGGCAGTGACCCCCATCAGTCTCCGATGGTGCCCAGCCCCTGTGTGGGCCTAGAACTGGCAGAGGAGGTCCTGGCCTGCTCAGAGTGCTGTGTGCTGCCCTTCGTGTGTCTCGTGGTCATCTGTCACCTGGTGGCGCCCTGCCTACAGGTTCTGTCATCAGCCATCTAAAACGGGGTTCGTCTTTGCCTTTTACCCAGCCCCTCTCATGGAATTCCCCCACTTAAGAGAGGGCCGTACTCTGTGACCTTGGAGCAGGCAGGACAGGACAGGACGTCTGACCTCCCCGAGTGCAACACCGCTGGTGCTCCTCAGCACCTCCTCTGTGGTGAAGCCATGTCTTCTTCGCCCACCCATCCACCTTGGAGTCTGCTGCTGGGGTGGCCGGTGCTCACACCCGCCGAGTTCCCCCGAAGATGCGCAGGTCCGCAGTTCCACTCTCTCACCAATTGTGGTCACCTGTTTGGTAGGCGGTCTGGAAAAATCAGAGCCACCCTTCACTACTTTGTCAAATCCTTTGCATCAGCAGCCTCTGTCTTCTGAATATTGTAGACTGCTTTCCTGTGCGTGGTTGGAGGGTCAGAAACTAATTTTATTATTCTCTTTCTCTTTGAATTGACTCAATTTTGGTTGTGTCTCTTTACTTTTTACATAATTCATATTGGTTTTTCATTAAAAAATCAAAATTAGGTGATTAGTAGTAATGCACAGAGTAAATCTGCAGAGAAAATGTGTTAGACTGGGAGTCAGGAGCAGATAAATTCTTGGGAAGCCCCTTAAGGGCGTTTCAGTAAATAAAGATTTCTCGTGAATGAGCTCTTAAAATTCCTAATTGCCAGTAAGTAGTTAACCCTTGTCAGTCTCTTGTGTTAACACATTTCATTGTCCTGTTTGCCTTTTACGTTCTAGTTTAGGGTTCGTCACTATTGCTTTATTTAGGATTTGTTCTGTTTTGGATCTAGTGATCGTTTTGCAGTGAGCATCCATTAATAATTCAAAGAGATAAATTAACCTTAGTTACGATTTTCTTGTTTTCTGTTCATTTTTAAAGGTATTTTCAAAAGAAATAATTCCAGACTGATGGATGAAATTTTAAAACAACAGCAGGAACTTCTGGGCCCAGATTGTTCCAAATACTCATCAGAGTTTGCAAATAGTAATGACAAAGATGATCAAGGTGAGTGTGAGTGTAAATTGAATATATACAGGTAACATCCAAAGACTTGTATCTTGTGTTTCAGGCGCATTCTGTCAGTGTTTTCTCTTTCATTTTGCTGGTAGTCTTTCATGTCATCATTAATCATCAGATTTCAACTTTTTTCATCTTGTTAAAAGAAAATTTTCAGAAAAAGAAAAACTAATTTGTATTGAACACATTACAGATTTTATTTAACAGGCAGATTTTATAACTAGCCCAACAGAGAATCTGAAGAACAAACATGCTTACAGACCAGGAAATGAAGGTATAAATAGGGGCCAAACTGATTTAGGAAAGACGATGGAAACTTCCAGACTAGAAAGAATTTGCAGGTGTGGAGATAAAAGTTTTGCATTGGTTAGTTACCTAGAATCACCAGTTGTAAGTTGCGGTGGAATCACATGTGTATGTTACAGATAGTACATACATATTCCATTGAAATAGTTTCTTTTCAAGTCTTCACTTTTTAACTGTGCTATGATTGTACATGGAATTTTAGATGAGTAAATATTGCTAGCTGGCTTATAATTAAAATTCCTATTTCCTAGATTTATTCACAGTACAAGTTATTCTGAGCCCTTGAAAAAGGCGGCAATATATAAATAGGTGTGTGAGTGTGGTGTGGGATTTATTGGTCCTTTCACAGGAGAATAGCTAAGGTGTCTTAGTATTACACCTGAAGGGTATGCTTCTTGTTTACACTGAGAACCCTGTTTTATTTTGCTCTGAACTTACTATTTGGTAAAACTGATTTTCAGATTAGTAGGAGAGTGTGTTTAACAGTGTCTTGTTTGGTTCTTGCTCCAGTTTTCAATTGCCACTTGGCAGTGAAGGTGCTGTCCCCAGAGGATGGGAAAGCGGACATCGTGCGAGCCGCTCAGGACTTCTGCCGGCTGGTGGCCCGGCAGCAGCAGAGGCCCGAGGACCTGGACGTGGACATGTTGGACAGTTTGATGAGTGAGTCATGAATGTGTGTCTGGCTTGTCTCAAGGACACATTGTAAAGCAAGTACAGTACAGTATTTAGGTTCCTTTCATAAGCTAAAACCTAGTTTTGTTGTTGCTGCACTTTGAACAGTACTGTAGCTTAAAGACCCACACGTGAAAATGATTTTGAGATAGTGGGATTTATAGTAAACTCCCTCACATGAGGAGTTAGTGCCCAAGAAAGGGGGTGCATGTGTGACCAAACCAGGACCTTAGGCACGCTAGGCAAATGCTTTGTCACTGAGCTTTGCCCCTGGCCCAGGGAAAGCCTTGTGGGTTTTGCAGTGGTGAATATTGTTATGTTCTTGGAACTAGGACTTCTGCTTGTCAGCCTTCTTCTTTCTCTCTCTCCCTTTCTTTTTACTTTGAACTTTCTCTTAAGTGCTAACATAATGGCTTTTTAAAAGCAGTTCCAAGAATATTATCTTTTTTTTGTGGTACTGGGGATTGAACCCAAGGCCTTTGCACAGAGCTGCATCCCCAGCTTTTTTTGTAAGACAAGGTCTCCCTTAGTTGCCCTTGCTGGGTTCACACGTGTGTCCTCCTGCCTCAGCCCTGCAGAGTGCTGGGATTACAGGTGTGCACCACCATACCCACCTCAAAGGGTAGAATCTTACATTCACACATATTCTTTTTTTAGGGTTCTGTTATGCTCTACATATAGCTCTCGAATGAATTGCTACATTTGTCATATCATACCAAAATATAATCTTATGCCTGTGTATTTTCAATACTGTTTGTAAAAGCCTTTGGTTTACTTGTTCTCTCTGGAGGTTCTCTAGGAACTTCTTACCTTTACTTTAGGGTCCTTCTTACTAGCATTATTCTTTTCCTTTTTATCCACATTTTAGCTTCTTTTTACTAAATATGTAAAAAGGTCAATGCAAGTCGTTATTCTCATATTCAGCCAAAAAATTATGCTACCATGTAATAGTAGGTGGGTAATATAAAATGAATGTGGTACATCTGAATATGACTTTTTCATCTGTTATGTCCTTACTTATCTCATTTATAATTAATAACACGTTTACATTCCTTTCGGTTTACATTTAATATATAACAAAGCTTTGTGGTGTACTCTTTAGTAAAAGTAATCTGAATGCATATTAAACTGTAATGGAATAATGGAACTACTCACCAGGAAAGGGAGGAACTCTCGGTTTCCTTCTGGAGTTTACTTCTCTTGGGTCTTTAGGGTGTTTGTCTTTTTTCCCTGCTTTTCTGCTTAGAATGAACATGGGCTTTCTCTTTGCCCCCTGCTTTGATCGCTTCCATCTGACAGTGGCAATTGCAGCGCTGTAACCCACCAACAGTGGGCATCCTGGCCTTATTCTTGCTCCTTGTGAAGAAAGGCAGTCCTTCTAACAAACTCGTACCCATGAAGAGCTGCCATAGCCATTTGACTCCAAGACATCCACTTACCTTTCCTTCATGCATAGTGCCCATTACCTCATTTACTGCTTGGCCTTTCCTGTCTCGGTTGTGCACTTGGCTCTTCATGCTCTGCCTCCTCTCTGACTGGTGGAGACAGTCACTCTCGGGCCTTTTGGTCCTCTGACTCCTCGTTTCACGGATCCTCACTTGATGCCCACTCTTGTTTTTCCTGTCATTGTGGGGCTGTGTTGCCCAGAGGTTGCTGGCATAGTGACTATCACTGGACTCTGAGGCCAAACCAGAGAGCGGTTTATGAGCACACCCTACCTTGTGGCGCCTGGGTGGTCTTCAGATAGTCTGTGGGAAAGTGCTGAAGCGTTGAGCCCAGGTGTTTTGCCTGGGGTTGAAAGTCTGCCCTGAAATGAGATGCACACAGCCATCACCCTAACTCATGGTTCTGGCAGAGCTAGCAGTCCTGGTCCTGTCACTCCCAGAAGATTCCTTCTGCGTTCAGGGCCCACCCCTGCCTCCCGAGGCAGGCCACCACTGGCTCACTTTCTGACTTTTGTGTGTTCTTTACCTTCCTTGGTTTGCTCGTCTATGTTGACTGCAGTAGAGTTCATTACTTTTTCTTGTTGAGTATTCTATTTGTTTGTTTGTTGAGGTGGGGTCTCCCTTTGTAGCCCAGGCTGGCCTGAATTTGAGGCTATCCTCTTGCCTCAGCCCCCTGAGCGATGGGATTACAGGCGTGCGCCACCACACCTGGCTTTTGTTGAGTGTTCTTGTTTATGGATAGAAAACATTTTGTTTATCCATTTATTAGTTGATGTACATATTATTTCCAGTTTTCGGTTAATACTGATACAAGTTTTTGAATGGAGATGTTTTTCCCTTCTTTGGGGTACGTATGTAAGAGCAAATTGCTAGTGTTTAACTTGTTAAACACTACCAAACTGCTTTCCAAATAGGTTATAGTTTTTATATCCCTGTATGATATATTGTTACCTAGTTTTTCTTTCTTTTTTTTTATTGTACATTCTAGTGCATGTGTAGTAGTATTTTCTTGGCATTTTAGTTCACATTTTCCTAATGACTAGAAAACATTTCTCATGTGTTAATTTGTCATCTGTGTCTTCTTGGGTGAAGTATCTCTTCAGATATTTTGCCCATTTTTATTTAACAAGTTGTTTGATTATTGAATTTCAAGAGGTCTTTGTATATTCTGGATACATGTCTTTTATTAGTACTAAGATATAATTTACAAATACTTTTTCCCAGTCCATAACTTTCTCATTTTCTTAGTGATTTCTTTTAGCATTTGCAATTTTTATGAACTGCAATTTATCTTTTTCCTTGTATGGATCATGCATTTGGATTCATATCTAAGAGATCTTTGCCTAATTCAAAGTCACAGTTATTTTTTTTCTTGTTTTCATCTAGAAATTTTATAGATTTTGCTGTTACAGTTAGGCCTGTAATCCACTTGACTTCTTTTGTAAATGACGTGAGGTAAAAGATCCTAGTTGTTTTTCTGTCACTATTTGTTGAGAAGACTTGTTTTTTTCCCCTTTGAATTACTGTGGTTTCTTTGTTGAAAAATAGCTCATCATAGACCTATGAGTTTTATTCTGGGCATATCATTTTATTCCATTGGTCTAAATGTCTATCTTTATAAAATCTGTCTTGATTACTGTAGTCCACCATATTAGGTTCTGAAATTAGGTAGTATAAGGCTTTTAGCTTTGATTTCTTTTTTTTTTTTTTTCAAAATTGTTTTGGCTATTCATGGTCCTTTGCGTTTTTATTAAATTTTAGGGTAACCTTTCCAGTTTCTAAAAATAGCTCTGTTAGGATTGTGGTATGGATTGAGGTGAGTCTGTAGCTCAACTTGGGGGAAATTGACATTGTACAATAGTGAATCTTCTAGGTCTGTTTCTCCATTTATTTGAGTCTTGATTTTTCTCTCAACAATGTTTTATAATTTCATGGTTTAAAATTTCTACTTGTTTTTGTAATTTATTTCTAAGTATTTTAGTCTTTTCTGATGTTATTGTTAATGGAATATTTTCTAGTTTTATTTTCAGATTGTTATGATAGCAATTGGAAATACAAGTATTTTTAGTACTGATTTTATATCCTGTTCTCTTCTTAAAATTCACTTAACAGTTGAAGTACCCTTTTTGTAGAGACAGAATTTTCTAAATATAAGGTCATCTTATTACAAATAAAGACAGTGGTGTCTCTATGCAGTTTTATTCTGTTTCGTGTACCTGTGTAGTGTAGTGTCTGGTGGTTTGCACACTGGTTGTACTCAGACACCTGTGTGAGGCTCTAGCATTCTGTGTGGAACTGGAAAGTACATTCAGAATTGACACCAGTTCTCAGGTCTCTTGGCGTTTGCTTTTCCTCCTGCTCTGGCCCCACCCCCCTCATGGGTGTGTAGTTTCCCTGTCAGCTTGGATATGGAATCCACGCGTCCTTATTTCCAGGATCTTCCTGTTGATTTTCTGGTCATGGGAGATGCAGCCTCAGCCAAGAATGCTTTTGCCTTTTCTTCTCTGTCTAGTAGGAATTTGCATGTTGTTTTTTTTCCTTCTGGCCACAACTTCCAGTTTAAAATTCAGTCCATATCTTTTGGCAGCAAGAGGCAAATCCGCTAGTTTTTGTTGTCAGCCCCGTGGTACTAAAACTACTTCTCTGCATTGATTGGGAGTAGAAGTCTCAGTCAGGGCGGCCATAGACTCTTGCCGTTCTTATCTGAAGTTCTAGCTGTTTTTTTATTTTTTAAGGAATAATTGCCTTTTAATGGCTGTTTTTGCCCAATTAATATGTGTTTATGGGGAGGATATGTCACCCTCTGCACATGAATATTATCAGAAGTTTTTTTGTTTTCTTTTCTAAAGAGAATTGCTTTTGAGGTGACTGAGCAGTATGTGATCTGCATACTCCATTTGTTCCTCCAATGTGCACTATTGAAGTTGCTTGGGATCTAGAAAGACTGGAAAGCATTTTACTGCGTAGCTGGGAGTTGGGGCTTGGGGAGAAGGAAGGGGGAGGTACTTTCTCGGGTCCTTCTCATCTCTCAAGTTGGTCGTGTGGCCCATACAGCTGTGCCCTTGAGCAGTGCCTTCCAGGGTGCCAAGAGAACACTCGTACTGAAAAAGGACAGAGGGTGTTTGGGGCATCCACCGGGTTTAGGGTGAGAACTGGCTTGCCTGCCTTATCAGGTATCAGTCCAGTTACATGGACTTTGAGAAAAATCTCCGTGTTTGGAGTGGACATAGCTACTAAAGTACATATTGAGGAATGTGAGAGGCCCGGAAACGGAGGTGAAGCTCCTGAAGAGAACGGATCCATCATACAGCAGGTTTTGCCCTTGATCTGTGTGTGTGTGTGTGTGTGTGTGTGTGTGTGTGTGTGTGTGTGAGAGAGAGAGAGCAGTGTATTAATTTCGTGTGTATGTCTTTATTTCCAAGGTTCCAATCATTTCCCCGATCCTGATTTAATATTGAAGTTTGGTCCTGTGGACAGCACATTAGGCTTTCTTCCCTGGCAGATCAGACTGACTGAGATTGTGTAAGTAATGGAGAGTATACTGGCTCTGTTTCCACTCAGCAGCTGTTGGGCCTAGCATTGTCCTAGATCTGGTGGGAATTCCCAAAGAATTGCGATGCAGATCTTTACTTCAGACTCTTCACAATACCAGTGGCAAAATAAAGATGCACGGAAAGAGTTAGACACAAGAGAGTAATGGCTGTATAGATACTTGGTACTGACACTCACGTCTTAGGAGATGAGGAGTGAGCCGACTGGTTGATGCACAGAAAACCTGGGGTGCACCCAGGGTGCGTAGTAGGTATGGGCTGTCTGTATTTAAAAGAAAGGCTGAGAGTAGAGGGGGTAGGAAGGGAAACAGCAAAAGCTGGGGCACGGTTTAAAGAAACAGGACCTGGCTTGGCCTAGTGCAGAGTGGTAGCAGAAGTGTGCTGAGGGTGTTGGAGTCCAGGTGGCTCTCAGCACCAAGCTGAGGAACGTGTGTGACAGGAGACGGGGAAGGTTTAAGCCTCAGTCATGGGGTAAGTGACTGTTATTGAGAGGGAACTAGAAAGTGAAGGGGGCACTCACGTTGGAGGGGGAGATGTGGGGATTCTGAGGCTGTGGGCAGTGTAGGTCGGGCCACTCCGTAGGGCAGATGGAGAGGTAAAGTTGTGACTGGATGAGAAGCCAAGGCTCACGATGTTCATTGGGGGAGCAGCAGTACCCAGGGGAGTGCACAAAGGGTCCTTTGAGAAACGCAGTTTCAGAGGCCGCGAGGAGGGAAAGTGCGGAGTGAAGAGGCGCTGAAGAGGTGCGGGAGAACACATGCTTCGTGCCAGAGTGAGAGAAGGCTGTAAAAAGCCCGCCCCGCCGCACTGTGCAGGCAAGGAAAGCGGGGAGGAAACGCAGTTCACTCCCAGATCGTGCCCTGGGTGTCCTCGGGCGGGCACATGTGCCTGCCACTTGGTTTTCAGGTTATCTCAGCTGCCTTTCACATGGGCTCCAGGAATGGCAGCAGCGATAACTTGGAGTGATAATTGCAGAGTGAAAAGTATGCTTTAGAACAAATAGATCTTGGTATGCAGCTCAGTAATGTGACTTGGGAAAGGGAAGCTTCTCTCCGTTTGTAAAGTCGGCATTTTGCCGTGGTGTTGAGGGCCGGCATCTGCAGCGGACAACAGATACCTCCCGTGCAAAAGGCTTCCCTGCGGGCTGTCAGCACCGCGGCCGTGGATCTCTCCCTGCTGTGGAGGCCTGCACTGTCTTCTCCTCACTAGATGGAGGCCCGTAATGGGGCGGGGACAGTGTCCTGCTTCTGAGGCGCATCTCGGGGAGCAAGCGACAGGGGATGGTCAAGAACCTGAGAGGCGGAAGATGCGGGCCTTGGCAGGAGCAGCCTTCAGTGTCTGGAGGGCATTGCTGCAGTAGATGGCCAAGACAGAAGAGTGGTAGTGGAGATTACTGAGCTGTGCCTTGATGCCAGTAAGAGACTTTGATTAGGAGACAGAGGTGGTGCCTTGTTCCAGAATTTCTGGCAGTCAGGAAGGATGACAAAGGCACAGCTCACAGGAGCCCCCAGTCTGGCAGCTGGGCTGGTGAGTGTGACCCGGGGCCACGTGCAGTTTCCAAGCCTTACTGTAAAGCTGTAGACGCCAGTTCAGGAATCTGCCTAAAGGGAGCTTCCTGGTCTGGTCGGGGGAGCCCTTGGGTTGTGGTTCTTCCCGTCCTTACCGTGTAATCACTCCTAGAGCCGGGGGTGGGGAGAAGGGCAGGCAGAGGTTCCCTGAGAGGTTTCATCGGGATGCTGGGCAGCCCTGCCCTGCCCGGGCTGGGCACTGCGTTCACGTGCTGGCCTTGGAGCTGCTGGAGTGGATTAGAGGGAGATGCTTCCACACGGACCTGCAGCATGGACTTAGTCTAGGCTTTGCTGTAACGGGCGGGGTGTGAAAGCAGCTCCCTATGCCTGCTCTCATCTCCTTAGGCAAAGAAGGGCAGACTCGTTTTCACTTAAACTGCTCCACAGTGGGGTTACCAGTGTCCCGGTAGAGACGGTTTGCCTTATTCTGATCGTAATCTGCCGCCTTCTGTCCTTTGCCTCTTCTCAGTCATTGTCCTCTGGTTCCCCCAGCACATTGCAGTGACCCTCTAATGGGTTTTCCCCTGTGCTTCCTTTTCAGCTCTTTGCCTTCCCACCTAAACATCAGTTATGAGGACTTTTTCTCTGCCCTCCGCCAGTATGCAGCCTGCGAGCAGCGCGTGGGGAAGTAGTGAGCCCTGGTCGCTGCTTCGGGCTTGGGGAGAAGAGACCTGGGCACTCTGATGTTTACAGACACCTGCGAAACCCTGTCTGCACCGCATTCCTATTCCTCATAATTTAATCAGCAAACACAACAAAGTGTCTTACTTGAGATGAGTGAGTGTGTGTATGCGTGTGTGTGGGGGTGTGTGTGTGTGTGGAAGGAAGTCAACTTATCAGTCGGGGAGTATTGGAGAACAAGTACATAAACCTACAACTTGGAGCGAAGAGCAGCCGTCTTCTAGGAGCTGAGATTTCAGATTTGAAGTCTTCAGGCCCTGCTGCTTCCCTGTTTCTGTGGGGAGTGGAGGGATGGATCAGAGCTGTTTTGGTTGTTGTTTGGGGAGAACTGAATGGTTTTGTTCAGTCTTTCCTAGTGACCAAACTCTAATTTTTAAGAATAGTGTAAGAACTTAATAAATGGAAGTCTTCTCATTTGAGGGAGTTCCCGAGGAGTGGGGTTGGGAACACCCAGGTTCACACATCCGTCCATGATCATTTCGGACTTCACTATAGTCAAACAGTGCAACTCGAGAATGTCTCTCTGGGGTCTTGGTGTTGTGAAGAACATTTGAAAAAGAGCTCTTACTATAATGAAATGCAGAGTTGTAAAAATTTAAAGATTGAATTAGGCAGTCAAAACCCAAAATGAGTAAGTTGTAATATTAAAAGTAAAGGTGAAAGTTTTCCTTAAGGAAGGTTTTAATTTCTTTTGTTGTTTAGTGAGTTGTATGTTATATAGCACCCAAAGCCAGTAGAATATTTCCATTAATTGTTCTGAGCATTTAAAAGAAGTCAGAACAGTACTTTCTCTCAAAATCAACTTGTTTCTCTTTGGAGTAACACCCGGGGTTTATTCATCAAACCCTGTTGAGATTTTGCATAAAAGAGTAAGGAAGATTGAGGCTTGTGTGGGAAGTACAATATTACCACAATCTACAAAAATAAACTCACCTTCCACAGTCTCCTTTGTAACAGAGAACAGCTCTGGTTCTGTTACTTTACAGATGAATCAGCCACTTCTTGGTAGGTGTTTAGTATGTTTTCCCTCACTGCTGACCCTGGGACAGACACATTCCTCGTACTGGACAGACTGTGTTCAGATCACTGTCCAGTCCTCAAGCCTCTCGTCATCCAGAACTGTGCACTGAGAGTGGAGTAGCCTGCAAACGGAGAAGTCTGAAGAGTAGCAGACCAGACTGGGTTTGGGAAGTGTGCTTGGAACTGCTTGTCAGATTCTAAAGTGGTGAAGAATAAATGTTTCGACTTTGGATTTTAAAACCCCATTTATGATTTTAAAACTACACTTGAAATAAAAATGATTAAACTAAATTTTGGTCCAGTGACATTACTTTGCACTTCATAGTTCTTTGTATTTTTTTAAGTCCTAATTTATTTCCAAGTTTTGTGTGAAGCTACAGCATATCTAAACTATTAGAAATTTTCTATTTCTGTTATGTGCTGTGATTCACGTCCTATTGAGTATTATTTTACCTAAGCCTTTTGTATGATAGATGATATAAATGTCATTTATAAATATTTTGCAGTCTGTACAGCTTTAATAAATTTAATGGGCCCAATTGAAGAAGGGAGTTAATGTTTGTTAAAATGGAATTAGTTAAATAAATTACCTATTGGGTTGTAGCCCAAATCTCCACAAGATTTGAGTATTTGAATTTTCTACTCTTCTCTTCGTTCACAGTATTGTATGTTTGTCAGAATAAAGCTGTAGTCCATTTCTCAATCTGCTGTATTCTGAGCAGAGACTCGGGACATGTTCAGGTAGACCCTTCCTGGAACTTTCTCACGTGGTGCACCTGCTAGTGCAGTCTACAATTTGAACAGCGTTGCTTGTTCCAAAATTCTTGTCAAAATCCTCACAACCTCTCTGTCGTAGGAGCTTACAATTGATCATTGTAAAGAAAATCGTGTGTCTGTATGTGCATCGAAGGCATTGTCTTTAAATTGCTTCTTCTTAACATTCCCCACAATGGGAAAATAACCAAATGGAGCCCTCTACATGGCTGGAGCAGAGCAAGAAGGGAGGATTTGAATTCCATCCCTAATTCAAGTTGTGGTTTGCTTCTTAAAGCTGTAAAGTCCAAGTGCTGTGAAGTCGAAAGGCTGGTTCTTTTGGTACCAGGGATCGAACTCGGGTCCTTGCGCTTGCGCAGCAAGCGGCGAAACCACTGAGCTAAATCCCCGGCTGAAAGGCTGGTTTTAATGTGAATAGTGAAGTATGGTCTATTGTGACAAAGGCTGAAGAATGCCTGTCTCTGAGCAGATGTTTAATATTAATGAACAGTGCCAAATACACTGTGCATATCAATAATTTAGTCTTTGAATATATATTAATCAGCTCCAGGTCCCTCCTGTGTGACGGAACCATGCATAGAATCAGTTCGATCCTTGTGATGTTTTGTATGACTGTAGACTTTGGCAACATGTAAATAATTGTACAGCAAATTTTTATGATTATGGAATCAAATTTATTAAATTTTATTATTGAAAGTTGAAACTCAAAATGTATGAACAAAAACCAATAAAAGAGTGTACTCTTTTCGTGGTCTGTAGTATTGAGTGTTACATTTATTCTGAACCTTTAGGGACTGCAGAAATGTAATGAGAAACTCCTATGATAAGATAGCAGTACTAGTTTTTAAAGATCGTATGCTCTTGGTTGAAATATATTCCCATTTTTAACAGCTCAAACATTTGAAATCTTACAATGTTATTTGCCTTTTGTTAGATAATAAAAATTCAGCTTCACAGTTGCCAGGATTTTCAAAATTCCACAGCAACTAAAAATCTGAGCTATTTTCACTGAATATGGAATTGCCAAATTAAAAGTATGTGTACTCCTTTAAAAAGGAAGTTGATAGTTCTTGTCGAAGCAGGAAATTGAAAGGTAAGAGCTGTAGTTTGTCTTGTGCTGCATATTCACTGTCTAACCTGAAGACATAGTTGTAAAACAGTTGGCTTTTTGGGCATGGTTTTCATCTAAAATCAAGTTTGTCGAAGGTCATATTTTAACTCTGGGAAATGTTTTTAACAAAATTACCTAGAAGTTTGAGGATAGTTTGAAATAAAACCCAGGAAATAAGATCAGTGTCAGCAGTTGCCCAAGACCCTAGATAACTGGGCTGCGTAGTGATAAGACTGGTGGAAAAGAGGAACACAAAGAATTTTCATGAGGTTTTAAAAAAAAAATCATACAAAAATGTAAGAGGATTCAGAGAAGCATAAATGAAGGAAAATAACCTCATTGATTACTGCTGACAGTCCTTCCAGAATTTTTTTGTACTTTTATTTAAAAAATGTATCCCACTGTATCAGGTTTAATAAATTCTTTTAAAACTAAAAGCTAGCGTATGAGAGTTTTGTTTTGTTTGGTTTCTCTGAATGTAAAGTTATATCAGCCCATGAAAATGTTTGGAAAAAGTCTCATCCACATTCGATTTTATTCCATATCCTTCAGATAATTGTTTATTGCCACCCTGTAACAATTCAGGGACTATAAATTAATTTTAGCATTACTCATTTCCTGAGTATTGCAAAAAATAATCCCAAGTCAAATTTTGGATTACCTGCTGTTGATGTGTTAATACTTCTTTTCACTAATGCTAGTAATTTAAGTTTCTGTTAAGGACACGAAAAATCCCTGGTCTTGGAGAAGGAAAGGCTGAGCAGGGCAGAACAGATCAGAACCCGGGTTAGGTACCGGCAGCACGGCTTCCTACTTGGATCTGTTGTTTCCGTCCTGTGGACATTTATTGCAGTAGTGTATCTTTTATGGGTTTGATTCACAGAGCCCTTTAATAAATATATTTTGCCATCAACCCTCAGTAACAGCTGTCCGTACATAGCGGCTGTGTTAGGTTTCTTTCACATCTCAGAGAAACGGGTGGGTGATAGCAGATTGCAGTTAGAGAAAACGGGCGTGAGGAGTGCTCTGCTGGCCTGGGGCTGCTTGGCATGGTGTGTAGTGCAGGGCTCCTCCCCGCCCCGGGTCACAGGTGCTTTTCCCACTGCTGAGTCAAAACACCCGACACCCTCAGAGGAGGAGAGGGTTGTGCAGCTCACAGCGTAGCGGTTTCAGTGCGTAGCTGGCTCCACGGCGGGGTGCCCTGGCAGAGGGGCGTCATGGCAGGCAGAAGACAGCAAAAGCAACGAGGGAGAAGTGGAACCTCTCCCCTTATATCGTACCCAGGCTGAGGCAGACCCATCTGTACGGATTCAGTAGTCACACACCCTTAGTCCCAGCGTCACCCACTCTAGATTCAGCCACCTCTGAAAACCCCCACCTATGACTGCATGAGGCTTTGGAGACATCTAGACACAACACCCGGGACTTTTGATGCTGAAACCAACAGCCTCAGGAAGAGAGCAAGGGCCCACTAGACACACTGTCCTGCAGGACAGCCCTTAGCACGAACTTCCCAGCCTGGGTGTCAGAAGTACTGTGCTTCATTTGTCACTTTTTGGGAAGTGAGTGTTGTGACTCGGGCGCTGCTGGGGATCAGTGAAGCGCGTTTCTGGGTGCGCGTGGAGGCGTGGTCTTGGCGTGTCTGGCCACTGACTCTTCCCGGGCCTCTTCCTCTGCGCTGCTTCCCCGTCTCCATGAACTGAGCAGCTTTGTTCTGCCAGGCTCTTCTGTCCTGGCACTCCTGCCTGGGAGCCAGCTGACATGGGCTGAACCCGTAATCCATGGGCCAAATTAAACCTCTCCTTTAAGCTGTGGGTGTCTGTTATTTGGTCCCAGAACACGAAGGGCTAAGTAATACAGGGAGTGATGCTGCTGAATGTTGCCTAAAATAAGCTATGTGATACTTGAAAAAATCAGTTTCTTTAGATTTGAGTCTAGAGAGAAAAATTACATATGCCTATTTTAATTATGAGATTATAACTTTTCCACTGAGTTTTTATTCATTATATTCACACATTTATCCTTGACATTTTGCATTCTACCAGTTTTTGAAAGCCTATCAGTTTTTTATGTAAAAGAAAATGTTTTCCACGTGTATAAATATAAGTAATGTCATGCTTCAAATCACGCATTGTAAAAAACATTAAATTCATTTCATTCATCCTGCAGATAATTGTGATTTCACAATTTAATAACTACTTACATTGTTCTTAAAAATAATCTTTAAGGTCAGGTGTGGTGGCACACGCCTGTGATCCCAGCACTCAGGAGGCTGAGGCAGGAGGATTGCTGCAAATTCGAGGCCAGCCTGGGCTACCTAGTGAGTTCAAGGCCAGCCTGGACTACATAGGAGACCCTGTCTTATTTAAAATACTTATTTTAACATACTTCATCCTTGTTTTTGAGATCACATCTCCAAGAATAATAACTGTTACCTTTCAGTACCAGGACAGAGTACGTAGGAAAAATCAGCTCAGTGGAGGAAAGGTTTGTTCCTGTTTGGGGTCTCAGTTCAGCCTGGGGCAGCGGAAGCAACTGGCGGGCACAGCTGCTCTCTCCGAGGCAGCTGCAGAACAGAGGAGCTGTGCCAGTATCGCTTCCTTCCGAGGCAGCACTCCAGGCTGGCGAGCAGGCCTCAGCACGGGAACTCTGAGGGACACTCCAAACTGACGTTGACCGCGTTGTTGATTTTTTGTCTTAAAATAATTCATCTAGTGGCCTTTTTAGCTTTCTGAAAGTGGCATTCATTGAGGTTGTTCAGCCTAATGATTTCCCCAAGTATTAGTGCTGAGTAATTGTAAGGGCATGGCGGTTGTCCTGGAGGGAGGTGACATTTCTGAGGGAGGATGCAGGGAGGTGAGCTGGTTATGTTCAGTGCTGATGGGATGGAGCCACGTGGAGAAGAATCCTCACAACTCTCTGACTGGGAATAACTGCAGTGCAATAGTGATACAAAGAACTCAGATTAACAGGCGTGCACACGAGAGAGACCTCCAGGCAAGTGATTTCATTACTTTATGAGTCACTTAGAAGCTGAAAATCGTCTCTACATAAATAGGCAAAATACCAAATTGCTTGTAGAACCGAGCCCTATCGGATGTTAAAAGCATCCACCGTGCTCATAGTGTATTAGTTCCTGATGCTTTTCACTAAAACACAGCTACCCCATTGCCCACGCATCTGAGCCTGGAAGAGAAAAGCAGTTAACAAAGTGAGTGTGCATCCCCTCAGATGTGGCTTTTTCATCCAGTTTTAGACAACAGAAATATTCCACATAAACTATCACTTCTACCTGCTAGCTGAACTGATGTTTATGTCTGAGCATTCCACTCTGCATTTTTAAAAATATAGTGTGTGGTCCAAAGACCTGGACTTCAGCCTTAGTGATTAGGCCTGGCTCTTTCCCTTTTCCTGATTCAAATCCCTTCTCCCGTGTGGAAAAACAAATATTCCTCCCTCTGGTCCAGACAATCTTTTCAGCAGTTTTTCTCTTTCCTATTTTCGGTCTCTTCCCTCAGGTACAAATGAATTGAGATTTTCAGTGCTCATTGTTCCTTCAGCTATTGCTTCTTTCCTTTTTCCTTCACTGTTAAACATCTTGAAAGCTTTTACTACCTGTATCTTTTTTGGTTTTTTTGGTACTGGGGATCGAACTTGGGTCCTTGTGCTTGCGAGGCAGGCGGCCGAACCACTGAGCTACATCCCCGGCCTCCTGAATCTTTATTTCCTAAGATCCTTGATCTCTTACCTTGCTCCTATCATCATGCATCAGCTTATAATGTACGATGTGACTTACTTAATTATCAAGCTTATTTTTTACAGGCTGCCTGCCAGTAAATGTGAGCTCATTCAGAGCAGGAGTTTTTAAAAAAAATAATTTAATTGACAAGTAAAACATGGACAACATGATTTCATATGCAGGGGTAATTGAAAAATACAGGGACTATTTAATTAAAAATTCAGAGTACCTCTCTTGCCTCAAACATATTTATCCTATTGTTCTTGCCGGTTTCTGAGACAGATATGGAAGTCTTCTCTTGTGTGTGTTCTCTTGTGAATGTGATAAAGAATATGGTGACTCCGGCTGCCACATACCATCTGACCAAAGGCCTAGAAACACAGCGGTGTGTCTTCAACCTCCAGATCCTCACCAGGTCTGACACCACGTAAATTCTGGCTCTTCCCCAAAGTCAAAATAACCACGAAAGGTCAATTTTTAAATCAGGGCAGCCAAGACAGTGCAATTAAAGACACTCATGAAAGAGCACTTCCAGAATTGCTTCAGAAAGTGGCAAGAATAGTGGGATGAGTGTGTTTGAAGCAAGGGGCTGTACTTTGAAGGGGATTAAAACAATGTGTCTTTTACTTTTTTTTAGTTTAAACACTTGATCGTACTTCATGTGTATAAATTGTGGAATGGCTAAATGGGGTTAATATATACATTACGTCAATTCTTTTTTGTGGTGTGAGTACTTAAAACTTGTCTTTGTGATTTTTGAGAAACCAGGTATAGCCAATTTTCATGGAGCTTTTCTCTCTGAAAAACTAGCCAAAGGCAAATTAATGTTAACTTTTGATTTTCGTTATAGAAAGATCATTATGTTAGCAATTGTTATTTATCTCAGAAGCAATGTGTGTTTGTATAAA